AGCATTGTTAGGCAAAACCAAAACTACGCCTTTTCACATTTATGATGCAAAGAGAGAGCCTAAAACAAGTATTTCACAACAAAAAAACCCTCTGGAAATGTTGTTTGAACCACTCTTCTCTCCATGAAATCTGCCTTTCACAACAGTTATGCAAACTCTATTAGTATATGACTTTTAAGTACATGCAAAAAAAAAAAAAATCTTTCTAGACATTACCTAAAACATAGTGACAAGGTAAAAACCCTGGAAACCAGTCAGTTTACTTAAAGACCACAAAGAAAAGGTGTACCGTAGCCAACAATTTTAATATTTGTTTCCTTTTCAGAAATATCTACTGCCAAAACAGACATGTGCACTGGAAGAGGCGTCCTGGCTGCAAAGATGGCACCAAAGACAACGGCTTCTGCTCTGAAATAAACACCTCACTGGAGACACGCGGCGAGGGAGACATGCCCAAAATTAGAGACGCTAAAACAGAGTGCCCGCTTCATTTTAAGTTACCTGCAAAATAATTCATCTTTAATTCTCTTTAATTTAAAGAGTTTTCATCTCTTTAGGCTGATGTGTTCAGATAAAACATTTTAACAAAAGCCATCATTGTGACCACTTTAAAGCATGCATGCTTTATTGTAAAGACCTCTACAATCCAGGTACTGTATTAAAAACTAAAACACTTGGTTGTTGCTGTTGGGGTTTTGTTTTTTTATTTTTTCCACACAAAAAGACTCCAGGCTGAGTGGGGAGGCACTGGCCTTTAGTCACAGCATTTCCCAGACAGAGAGAGCTCCAGGCCAGCCTGGCCCACTTGGCAAGGCAATCATCTCAAAGGAAACAAAACAACAACAAAACCCCACTAAACTAAAAACATTTCCTCGAATCTAATTCTATTTCCCCGGCTGTATAAAGAGCCCCGGCGTCCTGCTCCCCAATATGCATCGTGATAAAGACAGCTAAGACATCAACCCAGTGATCCCAAACCTGGGAGGGGAGCCTCCGAAAATCTGAAAGCTACCCACACAAATAAAAACCAGCTTCTATGGTCATTATTCTTCACTGCTACTTATTTTATATGAAAATCTCTTAAGGCTGAGTTGGCAAAGGCCCACATGCATATATGAGAAAGAAGCTGAAATGCTGAGACAAGCTTCTGCAGATGCACAGCCCTGATCCAGTGACAAACACTCCAGCTTCTTTAAGTTTAAGAACAAACCAAAAAACACAAACAACCTGAAACCTCAGTCAGAGCTTCGCTTCTGTGGGGCTCTATAGTAGATGAAATCAGCCACAATGCTTCTGCTCACCATCTCCAGGCCTGTTCCTGGAGCCTGGAGGCAGAACAGTCTCCACAGAGGCATAGAAAATTCATTTCCCTCCTCAACTCAATAAAACCCAAATAGATGAGGTTTTAGGGTACCGTGCAAAGCTGATGTGTTTAGGCATGTATCTGCAAGAGAAGACCAGAGATCTAGCTCCACTCAATAAAGAAGAAAGCAGCAGGCTATTACCATGCCATGCTGCAATAAGTCAGTCGGGGGCACATTTCTAAAATAAAACCACCACTACGCAAAATAAGGACCATCGGGTTCGACACTAGTATCAAATACTTAGTGGCTAGCTCCATGTGAGATTCCAGTCAAGCACTATAGTTCCAATGATGCTCACTTAAAATTCCTCTCACAGGCGTAGAATGCCAGCCAGGAATCAAACTGTGACCCCTGAGCCAAAGACAACTTACCACTCAGCTGGTAAGTGGGCAACTCAATTTACAAAGTTGAATTCCTGCATTTTAATCCTCTGCAGAAATATATGAGCAATGCTAAATGAACTGGATTCAGCTCATTAGAGGTTCACAAACCAAACAGAAAGCTTTGGAAGGCATCCAAAGCAAAGCCAGGCCTAGGTGGTGATGTCCACTCAACAAACACTCAGTGTCATAATTATCTTCTAACTTTTTCTCTGAAGAACATTCATGGCTGCACTTAGGCTACCACAATGCTCAGGCAGTCAATCCGAGGAAAAAAGATAGGACGAGCAGCCAATCATAGTGTCCAGATCTTGATGTATATACACATATAATTCCGAGATCTTGGAGGGAGTGGGGAACAGACAAAGCCCAGTGTGGGGCACATACCTGCAAACCCAGCATTTAGGCGATACAGGAAGGAGGATCAGAAATCCAAGACTACTCCAAGCTACACTGTGAGATTAAACCAGTAGTTTACAATCATTTTTGTAAACAGGCACATGCAAGTGCATCTGTACACACAGCCTAACAATGTGTGTGTGTGTGTGTGTGTGTGCGCGCGCGCTTGCCTGCTAGTGCACGAGAGAGAGCTGGGGGGGGCCTGCATGTGCGAGTACCCATGCACATGAGATCTAACAACTGTTTCTGAAAACCTTTACTAACTATGTTTCTAACTATTAAGAACTGGTCTATGGATTTGGTTTCATAAATGTCTTGTGTGCTGGAGGGAGGCTCAGTGGTTGAATACTTGCTGGCATGTGTGAGGGTGAGTTCAACCTACAGTACAAGAAGGGGAGGAGAAAAATCAATACCTGAAGCTTTGCCGCCTTTACAATGTTAGCAAGCATTCAAACAGAAATCTATCCCCAGCCATTTTTAGCCTTTGAAATTTCAAAATAAGACAAGACAGTCTTACAAGTAAATGAAAAAATAAAATGCGGCAGATTAGAGCCCTGATTTTGATTAACTTGGTTTGAAAGCTTGAGATCTCCATAGCCAGAATATTAACTTTCTTACAAAAATATACTATTTTCTTTTGATTATCAGAAAGATTTGTGCACACGAATTGGATATTTGTGTGGTTAGCAGTGAATACATGAGCTGATATCTTAATTAAAAGTGTGTTGAAGGCAGGAGAGAGGGTCAGTGGCAAGGATGCTGGCCAGCCTGGGGGACATGAGTTCAATCCCACACGGTAGGGCAGAACCAGTTCCCACGGGCTCTCCTTTTACCTCCACGCACATGCTGTGACACACACGTGTGTACAATAAACACAGACATGCATGATTATTAAATCAGTGTTTTTAAAAATCACACAGAAACTACTTGCTACAAAACTTGATCAGTAATCAGCAATCTGTCCTTTCAAATAAATCTAAGAGTTAGCAGGTTTTAAAAGTATGTAGGGATCATGGGGGTTACATAAAACCAAGAAGGTAAGAAAATTAAGACTATACTTTAGTGCAGACCTATTTTTCACCCTACACACTTGAGGAGAACAATGTAAAGAACTTTCTTTGGCAGCCATTCTTCACAAACTTTCTGTATCCGGCTTGACAACCTAGACTAATATCTAAGAATAACACGACCTGAACTTCCTTACAGAAAAAAAGAAAGGACTCTCCAGTTCTCCCCAGAAATGACTTCACAACCTCATGTCAGGAAAATATGGGCAAAAGCAGGCTGGGAACCAAAAGCCCAAGCCTGGCAGTGCACCGGCCCACTGCTCTCACCTCCTCTCTGCCAGACACAAGTCCCACTCCATAGAACAGACCGCACATGCCGTGTGGGGCTTCTCCCTTTACAGAGAGGAAGGCAGCGCTGGCAATACAAAGGTTCTGGGTGGGGACTGCTGAGAGCCGCCACTTTCCTATTTATCCATGACCCCACACACACTTACAAACACACATGCACACACGCATACACACACATACTCAGCAGCTTCAATTCTGGAGAAAGTAAAGCCTGGCAGAAGAAGGGATAACCTGGGGTAACAGGAAGCAGGCTGATCCATGCGTTGAGTCGCTCTTTAACACTGTGGAGTAAGGTCACCAACAATGGCTGCTAATGAGTGCAGTCTAAGGAATCAGGCTCACCTAGTTCCAGCTTTCCCTATTACTGCAAAATGGGGCAGACAATGCCCAACAGCAGAAGACAGCGCAGATGACGGAGTAGATTCTGGAGAGAATGAAAGTTCAGGCCCACCTGCTGCCCCACAGAAGAGTTTTGGTGAAATGCAAAAAAAATTGCTATGAGAAAGAGCTGCTAAAGGCTGCTGTGCCTTATGGGGCAGCATTACAGAACAGCCAGGCTACGGATGGGAAAATACAGTCCCCCACTAGCCTCTTGTGCTCTGGGGATGCCAGGCATGCTGTGGCAATTTGTAAACAGCTACCCTGGTGTTTCTAGTCACTAAATACCCTGACAAGTCTAGATCTGTGTCCTTTCCACAGCCTATGGCTTCCTCAGGCCAGTCTAAAAAGGAAATGCTAAGAAACCAGAAGCCCATGGCCTGACGCTGCCAGAGGATGGGTGTCACGTGTGGTTAAAGCCACTTGATTCTGGAGGAGAAAAAAGATGGGGTCTTCTGCTTAAGAGCAGGGAAGGCCTCTCTCACCCAAAGACAACTAACCAAATTCACAAATGAAATACAAAAACCTTTTCTGACCATACAAGAAAAATAGTCCATTAAGAAATGAATGCAGAGTAACTTCCCGGGGAACGTCTAGTCTGGCTGGTGGCACACACCTGTAATCCCACCACTGGGAGGCTAAACTGGAGGACAGCTGGGCTGACACAACCAGACTCACTCAGACAGGAACAACAAAATACAACTTTGAATGCCTGGGAAATTCACCTACGAAGTCTTCTTACAGCTCAGCATCTGAGGGGTCTAACCTCAGAAAGAGGTCCTCCACCAAGCAGGGGCTTTGTCTATGTTGCTGCAAGTTCAATTTCCATGTAAGAAAAGAAAAAGAAAAAGAAAAAGAAAAAGAAAAAGAAAAAGAAAAAG